GTGGAACCCAGATCGGTTGGGTTTCATCGACCCCAACTGCTGGGTTTGACGAAACCCAATTCTACTGGGTTCCATCGAACCCAACTGTTGGGTTTGGTGGAACCCATATTGGTTTTCGGATGTTTCTTTGGTTTCTGATTGAGGGCTATCTCTTGTTTTTTACTCGCTATTCAAAAACAAAAAAATGGAAAGACTTCTGGGAATGGTTGTTGCATTGAGATTATATTATGCTGCAATGTTATCCATGGGATCTTGAGAATTAATCATGATTTCACCAGTAGAAAAAGCAATAACATATTGGCTAGATTCGACGGAACCCAGCTCTGTTGGGTTCCATGGAACCCAGCAGCTGGGTTCCATGGAACATAAGTCGACTGGGTTCGACAAAACCTAACTTTATTGAGTTTCTTCGAAACCCAGCTACTGGGTTTAGAACTAGATTATGTTGATTTCCGTTCTTTTGTAGAACTAGGTTTGTCAAGTTCACCATGTTTTCTCATTCTTCTTTTGATTTCCATTTCTAGTTCTTGATGATTTACAATTTGATTACATTTATGTTGAAATTTAATTAAGGTTTGATTGACATTGATTATTGAGTTAATTTGATGGAGTGAAGATGAGAGAGCATTCAAAGAAGAAGAAGAAATGGGTTAAGATCGATTTTGCGAGAGTGGAGATGAAAGAGCAATTTAGGGTTTACAGGCATTTTACCCCTTTATTGGTGCTTTGGCAGCAATATGGGGCCCATTTAAGTGGATTTGGCACCTTTTGAGTCACAGGAACATGATATGGCAAAACGTTTTGTCCATATCAACACTTTTTTAAATTTTGCTTTCCATGTCATAAAAAAAAAAAAATGTCACATGCGTGGAGTTAACGGCTAAATTGACAGAAGGACTAGAGTTATGCATTTCTTAGAGTTAAGGGATCAAAAAACTGTAAAAAATTGTTGAAGGACCAAAAAAGTACAGCTCACTAAAGTTGAGGGACCAAATTTAGCATTTAACCTAACAAAAAATGTGTCTTTATCTCATACTCTAAGAGTATAAATTAAAAAAACCCATACAAGATATGTCTAACTTTTGTTGATAAAAAAAAAAATCCCTAAATTGATAAGAAAAACTTATAACATTTCTATACGAAAAAAAATATCATGACATAAGATACCAGATATTTTCTTTTGCTCTAAAGAATTCTTTCAAGCTGTTTCATAGCTTCAAAAATTGGTTTTGACATTAGAAGGTTTCTTTTATTATTATTATTATTGTTGTTGATACATCAAATGATTTGCTATATAATAAAAAATAATTCTTCCTTTCCCTTTAACTACTTGATTTCCATGTCAAAATGTTTCTTTTCATAATAATAATTTAAAGATTATTTTGATTTTCAAATTTCGAGTGATTCAATAGATAGGTATGTATAT